GGGCTTCGGATTCCCCTGGAACTGGAGTTAAGGATAGTTTGTAGTCGCCATGTGGGTGCTGGGAATCGAATCCGGGTCCTCTGCAAGAACAGTCAGTGCTCCTAACTGCTGAACCATCTCTCCAGCCCCAGAAGAAATAAAATAAAGATTTTAGGACTAGCAAGATAACTCAACAGGTAAAGGTCCTTGCTGTTCAAGACTGATGACCTGAGTTCAATCCCCAGAACTCATGTAAAGGTGCACAGGGATAACCAACTCCACAAAGTTGCCCTCTGACCTTTACATGTACACCGTGACACACATACTGCCCCTCATATCATGTACACACATGCACAAATACTGCTACTCATAATAAATTTAAAAATAAAATAAATACATTTTAAATACATGAATAGCATCAGCACCAGCAATCCATTGAATGGTTTTGGCCACTGCCCTCTCTTGGCCTCTATCTGTGGATATCAGATGCTCAGGTCACCCGTCATGTAGAATTAAAGATTGTTGGGGCTGGGAAGATGGCTTAGTGGGTAAGAGTGCTTGATCTGCAAGCATGAGGATCTGAGTTCCAATCCCCAGCACCTGTGTAAAATCCAGGCATGGCTGTACATGTATACAACCTCATCATTGGTTGGGAAAGACAGTTGATTCCTGAAAGTTCACTGGCCAGTCAGCCTCATTGAAACAAGCTTCAGATTCAATGAGAGGTCCTATCTCAAGGCAATAGTATGGAGAGGGATAGAGGAAAACACCCAACGCCCTGCTCTGGCCTTTACATGCTCACTTCTGGGTGCATACACCACACACACACACACACACACACACACAAACACACACAGAGTCACACAATTGTTGGGCTAGGCCTGGAGGTGCAAGGTTGTCTGTTACCTCAGCAACTCAAGAGGATGAGGCAAGAAGGTCACAAGTTCAAGTCCTGCTTGGGCTAGAGATTGAATGAAAGGCCAACCTGGGCAGACCCTGCCTCAAAATAGAAAGCAGGAGGAATGAGAGCACACCTCAGTGGGAGAGCACTCACATGGCCTGCTGCAGGCTCTGCGTTCAGGTTCCAGAACCAAAAATATTAATGTTTTGTCTTTACGTGAATTTAGAAAAGAAATATTAAGAGTAATTTTAAAAACTGCTTTGGTGCTTTGTCCTAGAATGTCCTTCACTTTCAGGATACGTTCTAGAAAAAAAATTACTGTCATTCCATTAGAAAGTTTTAAGAGTTAAAATAATTTATTAAAAAGTTTTCAAAATAAAGACATTAACTGGAAATGTAAGCTATAAATAAATGTTATTTCCCTTTTGACTTGCTGTGGTAACCCTTCTTATCTATGCTGACTGGAAGTGCAGCTTGGCAATATATATGACATTGATTAATAAGAGGAAAGGGTGTACTAGCTGTTAGAGCATTTGGCAGAAAAATTACAATCAACCTCAATTAAAGCATATAATCTGGGCTGGTGAGATGGTTCAGTGGGCAAAGACACCTATTGCCAAACCTGACAACCTGAGCTTGATCACCAGGACCCTCATGATGAAGAAGACAACTGATTCCTGTAAGTTTTCCTCTGCCCTCCACATGCCCCCCCACAACAAATTAATAAATGTAATTTTTAAAACTTAAGCCCACATAATTTGATAGGAAAATACCAAAATAAAGAATGGTTGGAATAAAACATCAAAATAGGTCCTTAAAGCTTTTCTAGACAAGGCAAAGAATGCCATCCATGTAGCAGAATGGTAATAATGAGTGAATTTCTGTAGGGTATTTGCTTCCAGATGGTTTTCCGGTAGTAGTAAAGGGTTGGCCCTGAGACATTCATATTCCCTTCCAGTTCGTCTTACAATAGATTGTGTGTGTTCTAGGTGTGGACATGGATTAGGGTAGAGAACGGATCGTACACATTGTCTTGGCCTAATGAGCAATATAGGCTTACCAGCAGATCTGGGGTTCAGTCTAGTCTGCATTAATGGGCAGGCAGTAAACTCAGGGTTTATCAGAGGTGACTAGGCTTAGTCACTTTTGTTGTGACTATGGGATTTTAAACATTTCACCCTGATATCACTCAGATGAACAAGAAGCGTGACTTGCTCTGAGGGTCTCCATGTGTCCTCGAGTGGTGTAGAAGAGCATCTGGCTTGGACAGTGAGGTGCCTGCACACGAGTAGTACCTTTCTCCTTAGTTCTTGAACTTAAGCATCTTCTGATCACTCTTCTCTTCCACCTCTCTCCACATCCATAGATGGAGTGGCTGCCTTCCGAGCCTTTCTGAAGACAGAGTTCAGTGAGGAGAACTTGGAATTCTGGCTGGCCTGTGAGGAATTCAAGAAGACCAGGTCGACTGCAAAGCTGGTCTCCAAGGCCCACAGGATCTTTGAGGAGTTTGTGGATGTGCAGGCTCCACGGGAGGTGTGTTTTCCATGACAAGTGTCTTGTTAGGCCTCAAAGAATGTTTGAACCAGACTCAGGGACTTCCTCCCCATCTATTGGGCCTCACTATCCAGATGAAAGACCAGGGTTTCTACCAGAGGGCCTCCTTTAAGAGTGTTTTAGCTGTCTGCCCAATCTGTGTGGACAGGAACTATGTTGTGACAGGGATTTTGCAAGAGTAGATGCCACTGAGTGCATGTTGATTTTTCTATTAAAAGTCAGCATAGGAGTCACTGAGATGGCTCAGCAGGTAAAGTCACCTGCTGCCAAGTCTGGAGACCCGAGTTTGCTCTCCGGGATCCACATGATAAAAGGAGAGAATTGATTGCCACAATTTGTCCTCTGACCTACACACACACACACACACGTGCACACACATATACCAATAAATAAAAATGTAAAAAAATTAAAAGCGGCATATCTTAATGAAATAAATACATTCTTCGAAGGGATTTTATTCCCAGTCTCAGTGCTGCCACAAACTAGCTGTGTGGACATATGCAAGTTGTTCAAACTCTCTGAGTCTCCTTTTCCCCAATGTAAAAGAGACTAATACTGCTTGCCTTTTCAAGACTACTCTGACTATAGAGATAAGGCATTTACTCCATATTTGCCACTGCTTATTAATAAATATTTGTAGTGCTTTTTATTATTTTTCTATAGTTATGTATTGGTGTTCTGATTTTTTTGTTTTTTGTTTTTTGGTCTTTTTGAGACAGGGTCTCCCTGTAGCCCCAGCTGGCCTGGATTTGCTATGGAGACCAGGCTGGCCTCAAACTCACAGAGATCCACCTGCCTCTGCCTCCTGAGTGCTGGGATTAAAGGCATGTGCCACCATACCCGGCTGGTGTTCTGAGTTTTAATACAGCATTTCACTTAGGAGGGTTTAACTGAAGATCAATAGTTGCTATCTGTGTTTATGTGCACCTTTGACCTGGGTTGTATGCAGTCTTTACCAGTTGGATAGAAAGCTATTTGCCCTCAATAGTAACACTGGAATAGAGAGATCTACATATTTATCAGGGTCTCTCTCCATTGGGCATTTGTGACCCTGGTAATTAAGAAAAGACAAGAGGGAAATCCTAGGGGAACCTGCATTACCATCTGGCTTGAGTCTCACCTTAGCCTGGTGTGAAAATCCTTTGACTGGGAGTTCATTGATTTGGGGACTCTTCCCCAAATCACATTTTTTCACATTATTTTAGACAAGTTTTACAAATTCTAACTAAGAATATCTAGACTTCAGAGCCCAAAACATTCTCACTGAGTGCACAAGAGATGAACCCCATGAAAGTAGCTTGAAAAGCATCAGTCACCCTAAAGATATGAGATGGTGGGCCTGGAGAGATGGCTCAGTGGTTAGGAGCACCGGCTGCTTTTGCAGAGGACCCAAGTCGAACCCAGCACCCACATGGCAGCTAACAACCATCTGTAACTCCAGTTCCAGGGGAATCTGACGCTCTCTTCTGGCCTCCAGAGGCATTGTACAACATAGGTGCACTTACATACATGTAGGCAATACACTCACACACATAAAACAAAAAAATAATAAAATATTTTTAAAGAAGACATGAGCTGGTGTTGTTAATGGTTGTGACCCAGCGTAGGTCTGCTGCCAAGTGCCCTGGCCTCTGAGGGCTCATGACCTTGCTTTCTGTTTGTGTCTCTAGGTAAATATCGACTTCCAGACCCGAGAAGCCACGAGGAAGAACATGCAAGAACCATCCCTGACTTGTTTTGACCAAGCCCAGGGAAAAGTACACAGCCTCATGGAGAAAGACTCTTATCCCAGGTTCCTGAGGTCCAAAATGTACTTAGATTTGCTGTCCCAAAGCCAGAGGAGGCTCAGTTAGACCTCGGATGGGGACTCTTGGAAATCACTGGCTTTCCCCTCCCCTTACTGCCAAGACCGTACTCTAATATGAAATGTTATAGGTGTTCTAAGGAGGTGGTGTTTGGGGTGGGAAGCCAGGGGTGACAAGGGTGTGAAGGGCTGTTCCAAAGTACAACCCAGCTGCTGGAGCTCGAACTCTTCCATTTACCCATGTTTGTATTTTGGTTAGAGGTAGCACCACTGCTGTTACCCTTCTCTGGGTGGGCCAGCAACTGGCCCATCATAATGCTGTGGGTCATCTCTACCGAGAACGCACTGTAAATAACGCAAATGCAGTTTCCACCACCTCCACACCATATCCTCTTCAGTAGTATTGCTGACCTCACCCTGTCCTTTACCCATGGGAGGAGTAGCTGGAAGACACAGGTTCTCACTTGTGATTCACCATCACAACTGTGGCCCATTTTGAGTGGTAGGACCTCACAGTTTAAAAGAGAAGTCTCTTTGGAATTCCAGATTTCTAGCAGCACTGAGAATGGACATATTCCCTAGAGTTGGCTCTGTGTCTTCCATTTCCACTGGATCAGTATGAGAGTCTGGAGTCCTTCTTAGCCTAGGAAATTCATAGAACTTCCTTATGCACACAATTTCAGAAAGGGTCTTGGGAGATATCTTTCATGACTTCTGAATGGAGCTGTCCTTATGAAGGATACAGCTTGTGAATCTTCCTCAATTCTACCAAGAACTTTTCTAGAAGTCGAATGACCAGGGAATGTAGCATCGGTAGACTTTTGTGCAATGAGGCTCCATATAACCTGTCTTTGCCTAACGTATTCTCTGCCCTCACCTCCCCATAGTGTCACATATCACTGACCTCTTAGGATGAAAGACAGCTTGGCAAAGGGAGGTGAATTTCCATAGCATGAAGGCTTTCCTAGTGCCTGATACTTTCCCTGTCTCTCCACCTCCCCCTTCCATGCAGGCCATGTAACTATGATGGGGGAGAATGGGAACCTAGGCTGAAACTCTCTTTGTAGCTTGCTTCTAGGGCATACTTTCTCTAGAAAGGTTCCCCTCTTGGCTATTGAGAAACAGTTGCCTCTTTGTCTCTGGCCTTCGGGCTTGAACATGAACTAGGATGATCACTGTGAACATCAAGCTATGGAAACTTTCCCAAAATGTTTGCACAGCACCCTGGGGCTGCTCTTGGAAATACATTGGGATATTCTTGCTTAGCGGATACGCGAACAGTACAGAATCTCTACCGCTGCCCAGGAGAAAACTGAACCTGCCATAGAGCAATGACAAGGAACTGCATCCTCAGCGCAGAGACCAGAAAATGGAAGAGGTGTTTGGAAGCTGCTGGTCTCCAGGTGAACTGAGTCACAGAGAACGTGGTAGAGGCACTACTGGGGTGATTCACAGCCAGCGCACTTGGATTCATGGAAGATCTACAAACTTTCATTCAGCCTGAGTGAATCAAACAGCCCATGGTCAGGTTGCTCTGGCATGCAGTGGTGGAAGGCTGGACTGACACATCCTCCTTTTGTGGGGTACTGGTCTTTTAGAATATGCTGGTGTTCTAGGATTTGCATTCTGGTCTGTAACTTGGAGAACTGGTTTCTTCCTTGGCTAGAGCCAGACAAGGCCCATGTGCCCACTGCCCTCTGTGGCACATTGTCACCTGTGAGTGGGTGTGAGTATGTGTGTGAACTTCAAGGAGAGAGAAAAACACCTGCTTCCTAGGCCTCACTGAAGAGACCTTTGGAAGTCACATTTAATAAGAACTCTAAAGCCTCAAATGGTGTTCCTAGTTAGATCAGATAGTATCTCCCAGCCCAATATAAAAATATTCTTACCTAAAGCTGCCAGAATCACCATAATGATTAAATTCTCTAACAGGGTATTTTAAACATTGTTTACATATGAAATGTGCATCTGCTGCGAACTCTACTGTCCAATATGAGGTGCATTTAAATTGGAACTGCAGTGATGGAAATGTCTTTGGAGGGGCCTTTTCATCACTTTATTATCCCAATGAGAAAGGCATTGGGTGGTATGGCAACCTCATTTGGGGCCTAGAGTTCTTGCCAACTGTTGGTGGAATGCAGGCTGCAGATGGTGATGTCATGGCACCCGGTGACTTCTTTCCTCAGGGGAAGTATGAAGGACCAAGTTTGAGCATCTTGAATTTTGCAACTAGACCAAGGGCACACTGGTTTGTGTCTGTGTAGAGGGACAGCTAGCTCTGTTTATGGTACATCCATGGAGCATCGTGTGTGTGTGTGTGTGTGTGTGTGTGTGTGTGTACAGTTATGAGTCTTGAACAGTACATGTCAGACGCGACCTTCTCATGTAGGTAGCGTTTTATCCCATGCCCTGTATTCCCTGCTTCTCATGCAAGGTGTAGAGCTTCTTGCTCTGATACCTCCTTTTAGGCACTTTGGTCATGCTAGCCCAGGTTTTGGTCTGTGATAAAACAGAGAAATGTTTACAACATCTAGAGCAATATCCAAGCATACCTCATCTCTGACCTTCCATGTTTCCCAGCCTCCTTCCCTCATTTCCTTCTCCATAAGCCTCATCCACCTTACCAGGTTGGCATCACAGATGTCACTTCCATTTAATGTCTTCCTTTGCTCCAGTCATGGAGTGCGCTGATGACTGCCTCTGGACTCGAGGCAAGCCCAGGCAGCCCGATGCAGTGCTGTGGCTCTTCATCTTGGAGTGATCTTTTGGTCCTATTGAAGTGTTCACCTATTTGGGGCCTGGTGTATGGCTTGCTGTTGTCCCTATGATCTAGGTAGAACACAGTCATTGACAACTATTGACAACTAATAGCCCAACTATTACACCTGTGTGGTAAGCAGAGCATGATCATCTGAGGCAGTATTCCTTATTAAAATTGAGCGTGCATAGGGTTCACCTTGAAAGCCCCTTACTAATGCTAATTCCCAGGTTCCACACCCAGAGATGCTGAGCCTATAGACTTAGGGAGAGATGCAGAAAGTGGCATTAAAAAAAAAAAAAAAAAAAGCTCATGGATTTTTAATAGCCTTCAGGTATTGAACAAAAGTATCCTAAGACAGGGGATCTAACCTTGCTGCTCATTAAGCTTACCTGGGGGGCATTGAAAACCCAACTGTTCAGTTCTCACCCCAGAACAGGTCAGTGGAAGCCAGGTGGTAGTGGTTTTCAGGGCTCCACTGGTGGTTCCAATGTGCAGATGTGGTTAGGAAGCATCAACCTAAAGATTGAGAGAGAACACGCCTGAAGATAAAACACGACTGTGGGACCAGAACACAACAGTCCACCCAGATGCAAAAAGCACAATAGCTAGGACACCTTGTTCACTCTGCAGTTGGACTCTTGGGATAGCTGCTCTAAGCTTCTCAGTCTGCCTTGCTCCTTTGAGATGATGTTTGGGCCCAAGCTACATGCACTGGTTGGCAGCAGATATGCCAGGATAGGGAGGATAAGGGACAGTTGGTTGACCGTTGCCTTGCCATGTGCTCCCTACTTTGTTCTCAGCTCTTCCGCTGGCTTCCCTCCCTGTTTGTTTTCATGTACTCTTGTGTTTGGCCATTTTGTGTCAGGCTGTGCCTCTGTACCCTAGGGCATGCAATGGGGTATTGGGAATGCAGGTAGTGAGTGAAATGTAGTCTTGGTAGTGATAATCATAGCAACATAACAGCCTCCAAATTTCTCAGTGGAGGGTGTCCCCTCCTCAGGAGTATCATATCTGGAAGGCTTTTCCAAGACCATGATGGAGTTTGGTCCCTGCTCTAAGCCCTCACCATTTCCTTTTAGGTCCCATGTTGGATGGGCGGCTAGGAAGCTGCTAGTTGGTTTTATTCTCTGGTGCTTTCCCCAGAACTTGCTGCTCTGATAAACCAAAGCTGTGAAAAGGTTAGTGTTCTGCCCGGGTGCTTTTCCTGGACAGGGCTTCTGTGTCCTGGTGCCCTAGGCCCTGGACAACAGAGAGGCTAGCTCTGCTGTAAGGGGAAGGCATGAGCCTTCTGTGCTGAGAGCCGGGGGAGGGTGGGCATGGGGAAGCCTGAACAGGAGGGAGGGGAGTAGGAGAGCCTAGTTGTCTGCATGGCTGTTGCTCCTCCATGCCACAGAAGGAAAGGTGAAGGGGGGCACATTCACAGGCAGGATGGTCTCCTAGCAAGAGCAGTGCCCAGAACTCTGACCCTGTCTCTGCCCACTTCCGTGCTCTGCAGAGGAACTGTGGTTTCCTGACCTCTCCTTCAATCTGCCAAGCATTACTCCTCTTGAAATCTGCACTCCTCCTGTTAAAACGGAAGAGGTGGCGCCATCACACATGGCACTGACAGCCTGTGCCATCATGTCACTTGGCATGAGACTGAAGAAGAAGAAGAAGAAGCAAAGAGATGGTGTCCTGTCCCTGTGGCCTCTCAAGGACTCTACAAGATGCTGTGGGCCACAGGCCTTCTGAAGTTTGGGGTCTGGGCCCTCTGAATAAACTGTCTCTTTCTTGATTCTTAATCTCTTTCAGTCCCATGCTCCTCCCCTCTGACAGGTGCGGAAAAGGTGAATGGGTTCCGTGTGTGCCGACCACGGCAGCCTTAGCAGAGTCACTCATGGAGCAAAACAGATTTGTAGCAGCTCATCTGCCATATAACCCGCTTGGCTGGAGTCCTCATTGAGTTGTTTCATTACCATGTAAAGTGGAATAATGTCATTCACCTTTACTATACACAGGCTGTGAGAACATAATAAACAAAACCTGAACAAGCTGCCCTTCGCTCTCTGCCCACATTTCTGGCTGGCTGACTCTTTATGAGGAAACTCTTCACAGAACACGTGGACTCCCCCAGGAGGAGCATGTGGCCTCACCCTGAAATGGCTGGCACGGGGCTGGCCACCAGGATGAGCAGGGGTGTGGGTGGACAGGGTTGAGAATGGTCTGGGGCCAGTGTGGGGGTGGTTATGAGAGTGGCTTTGAAACTGTAAAGTGTTATACAAATGCCAGGTGGTATTTTTATTTGTGCCACCTACGGCTGAAAAATGCAGGGAGAGAAAAGGCTGGTGATGGTTTGTAAGTTTGTTCAGCTGGGGCCATCTGAAAACGCAGTGGGTTGGTCTTGCTTATGGTTACAGCTCACTTTATGCAGTCGGTGAATGGTGGTGGATTAGTCATCAAATCTTTGTCCCTGGTGCTCAGGTCCTGCTGAGGAGATAGGAGACCAAGTTGCTGAATCTGCTGGCCAAAGCTTATTCGTCAGGTGGGAGTGAAAAGATGGAGATACAAGAAACTTTAATCATTCGAGTAATTAAAAAGGCTCCAGAGATGGCCTGACTTTAGTGGAAAGCTGACTTTTCTTCAAAGGTGAAACCTCTGGGTTAAATGAAAAAGGGTTTTATTACGTGAATGATCCTCCTCAAATTCTAGTTTCCTGTATCAGGAATGGTGGCAGGCAGGGCTGCTGCAGACTGGACCCCACCATGGGGAAAGGATGTGGCTGGCTTCTCTTTCTCCAGCTTTGCTTTTCTGCTCCTACCATATTGCCTCCTGAGGTTTCTGTCCCCGTCCCTAAGAGAGAGTGGAGGGGGCAGAGAGGTAAAGGAGCAGAGGGTTGGTCGTATCTAGTGTGGATGCCACCTGGGACAGACTGTGGGCTCGAAGCCTGGGAGAACTTGGATGAGCCCTTTCTGTTTCATTGGTAACCCTGTATCTCAGGAGACACCCTTACAGCACCCCCAATGAGAGTGACCCCCACTCTGGCTGTGCCTGCTCCTTCCTAGACTATGTAGTCCCTGTGGTTTGGTGGTCCCTGCAATCTGCCCTCTTCAGCAGGTCCTGGGATGACCCTGAGTTGGTCTTCTCTCAGGAGGCCCACAGCTGGCTCACTGGGAGTTCTTAGTCCTGACAAGGCAGTGGTTTGCTTTGTTTGGTAGCCAGGGTTGCCAAGCAGCCCACTGCTTATGTCGTTGATTTTCCCGGCTGAAATTAGATGGTTCTCAGGCATTTGGGGCACCAGCATGTGCTTCACTGGGAATGAGGTGAGAGTCAGGCATCCTCTCTTCCTCGTCTTCTTCCTCCTCTTCTTCCCCTCCTCCTTGTCCTCTCTTCCTTCTTTTCCTCCTCTTCTTCCTCCTTTTGGGAATGGTGTGAGATGGGATTCACAGTCTGAACAGCTTTCCCACAGAGCTCTATAAACTCTCTCCTATCTCTGGTCTTTCTCTGTTGGAAAGGTTTTCAGGGCCTTCTCACTGGCTTTCCACTCCGTTCCTGGAACCAGTGTTTGGTCTGGAACTGGTTTACTACCCCTAAACTCTGACAGATAGCTCTTGCACGTGTAAGACATGGAGGGCTACACCTGACCTTTCCTAACACACAGTACCCATGGGAAAAACAAGTCTTACATCAAATAAGTAAGAGCCATTGCCAGAGGCAAAAGAGGTCACTGAGGTAACCCACTCCTATGGGAAGCCTTTTTAGCTGGGTCTGCCTTTGCAACAGAGCTGCTATAATAAATTACCACAGACTAGGTAGTTTACGAACAACAGAATTTCTGTTGTGCCACCTACTACTTGACATGGTGAAGTTCTAGGCCCTACTTCTGAGTTGTAATAGTAGAAAGAGATCAAGTTAGTTCCCTGCTCTTTGTTTATAAAAAGATACAAATTCTATTCACAAAGGTGCTACGTGTCCATGTGTCACCCTGCTAGCATAGAGGGGAATCTAAGCCCATCCCTCAGTGAATGCACAGTCACAGTGAATGCATGTCCAGCTGCAGGAACAGGTAAACCACAGCCTGAGACATTTCCTTTGGTAGGGTCACATCAGCTCTTCCGGCAGTTTGAATTCTGACCCTAAACTGTTTGGGTTGGAATCCCAGCTTTAGCGCTTGCAAGGTGTGTGAGCCTGGAGAAGTCACTTCGCTGTGGCTCCATGTTCTCATTTGTAAAACTGAAAAAATAACAGAGTAAGTGTTTGGGGCTGCTATGAACAGTAAGTAGGTTAGCATGGGACTAGTGTGGCATGCAGTGGACACACAGTGTCTCTCAATGGAGTCTTCTCTCAAACTGAATCTCCAGAAATCCCAAACCCACACATTCCTCTTTTTGTAGCTCAGTTACTTCTTGATTGAGTATTAAAGAAAACCATGGACCAGCGAGATGCCTCAGTAGATAAAGACACTTGCTGTGCAAGCCTGGTGACCTGAGTTCAATTCCCAGAATCCACTTCAGGGTGGAAGGAGAGAACCAGTTCCACAAGGCTGTTCTTTGACTGACCTCCACGTGCACACTGTGGTACCTGTGCCCTACCCCATGCATTCTCACTCACCCAATAGTAATACATTTTTCAAAATACAGAAATCAAGGGGATGCCAATGATATTAGAAAATGAATGTGGTATCCCTTCCTTGCTAAACTCTAAACTCCCTGAAGGCAGGGGCTATGCCTTCCTCATTCCCTGCCCTAGTCCCTAAATATTTACTGAAAGAATATTGAATCTACAAGTGTTTGGGGAGACACCTTATAGCTTAGACACTGCGTAGTTGGAGGTAGAGACAAGAAATCTAAAACCTGGGCCCTCAATGAGCTTCCTTAACTCTTACTACTTTACAAACACTGGCCCCTTTCTACTTTACAAACACTGGCCCCTCCCAAATGAACATAGGTGACTGCATATGTACACACAGGAAAAAGAAAAGGAAACACTTGGGAATCAGGAGCCTAGTTGAGTGATTTAGAGTCTCTAGCTAGATTCTTGAGACAAATCTATGAAGTGGTGCATTAGTTTGTGGGGCTGTCAGAACAAAATACTAAGACAATAGAACTTTACTGTCTCAGTTCTGGAGTTATATGTTCAAGATCCAGGTGCTAGTGGGGCTGATTTTCTCTGAGGCTTCTCTGCTGAGCTCACAGATGGCCACTTGCTTACTGCTGTGGGAAGGCACATCCCTGGGGTGCAGGCTTTTGTCGTGATCACACCCCTTCAGGTGCTAATATCAGCTTTGTGGGCACTCACAGGGGGTTAGGCTCTCTCCAGGGGCAGCTGGTGGGAAAGCACAAGGGATTAGGATCCTGACATGGCTAGAGACTGAATGCTGACCCTGTATAGGGCCCTGGGGAACGCTCTTGACTTTCAAGTGCTGCCTTTTAGTTTTTCTGCTTGTAAGTATGCAGCCACCTCCATTCTTTGGTAGGTGCCAATGCTTGTGAAGTAGAGAAGTCCTCAGAAGCGCTAAGGAACTCCTGGGGGCTCTTGTTCTTGTGAGGACACTAGTCGTATTGGATTAAAGCTTTGCCCTAATTTTATCACTTTAACTTCACCAGTTCTTTCAAAGTCCTATTCCCAAATTCTGAGGTACTAGGGGTAAGGCTTCAAGAGTACAAAGCAATTCAGCCTGTAACAGGTAGATACTTTTACTCCCAAGTACAGAAGAGGAACCAGAAGCACAGAGCTTAACTGAAATCTCCAAGATCACACAGGGTGGAGCTGGCAGAACTGGCTTTAGAATCCCAGCACCATAAATCCAGAGCCAACATCCTAATGTCTACTGTGCTGAGGACAGAAGGTTCTATAGGGGATGGGGTGGGGTAGAGGTGGTTCAGGTACATAGATATTGGGGGCGGGGGACTGGGGTGATAGAGTTGAGCTGCTCATTGGATGGGAAAGGTGTAGGCCAGCTAGAGGTGAGGGTAGGCATAGAAATGGGGGTCACTTTTCTGTCTTTTGCTCACTCAGAAGTTTGGCCTCCCGGGGAAGCTGCCAGAAAAATGACTATAGTTGAAAGTCTTGCTGCAAAGCCTACAGTTGGATTGGCCAATTATGTGGCAAGCTGTTTCCTGTCAATGAGTGCAAATGCAGTCACTGGGTTTGATCTGTGTTGTTTTGCCTTTTGTACTGTCTCCACTAGGTCAATCCGTTTGTGTCTCCCACAGCACAGCCAGGACACATCATTGTAGGGAGGCTGAGTCAGTCCTGCCCACAACCGGGATAAGTGTGGTTCCATCTCCCTTGTCTACTGTGGGAAGGCATATCCCTTGTGTGCAGCCTTCAGTCGTGTTCCCATCCCTCAGGCACTGATATCAGCCTGTGGGTATGCTCAAAGGCCAGGTTCTTTCCATAAGCAGCTGGTGAGATGGCATAGGGGCCTGGGATCCAGACAGACCAGAGACTGAATGCTGACATTGTCTAGGACTGGGAGAAGGTTATTAGCCTCTCCTGGCCTCACTTTTCTTATTGACAAAAGGGGGCCAATATATTTCCAGGCAGGGTATCTACAAGGATTAGAGATAATTTGTTCGAAGAACTTGGAGCAGGATCTGGTTTGTGGAGGTGGCTTAAAAATTTGGCTGTCACTGTTGGAGGTCCTGGGCCTGGGGTGCAGACATCTTAATACTTTCTGGGGATCAGAGCCTCTCCTGGGGAAGTTGGCACTTGGTCAACTGAGGTGAGTGAATATAAGCTGTACCTGCAGGAAAACAGGACCTCAAAGCTAGCATCAAGACCCTTTCATTGAACAGAGTGGTCTGCACCAGATAGGGCTGTACTCTCCAGTTAGGTATGCTAGGGATCGTTCACTTGACACGTCTCTAATGTGCCACCCAAAATGCAAACAGATTAACTGGATGTTTGAGTTGGCAGAGTTAAAAAAACAGCATCCTTGCTTCAAATCAACTGATCAGGCACTTACAGCATGCTCTCAACGTGGCAGGAACAGAGCTATACTTTTGACTTGTAGATGCTGGGGAAGCACAAGTGGATGTTCACACTCTTGGAGC